AATAGCCTTGGAGTCACAACGAGAGATGTGGAACAAAGAGAGAAGGAGGGGGCTTGGGATGAGAAACAATGGCTTGAGGAAAAAGGGCCCTCTGGGAGAGAAAAGCTGTCAAATTTCTTTGCAAGCTTCCTGATCCCAGTCACATCTGTATTCTCCTCCTCTCCCACATATCCCAGAGATACCCGCCAAAATCCCAACCCCCATTTTCTAGTACTTCTCCACCACCTTCAAGAGCCTCATATGATGCATAGCAGCGGAGGGTGAAAATTTTCTCCCATCCTTTATCCAAGGAGAGAAAAGGTATGCACTTAAGTTCATGCTTGCTTGACCAATAATGCTGCAAAAAAATAATCCCTCTGCCACCCTGAGAGAGAGGGGAGCGACCTTTGCTCACCTGCCAGCTCGCCTGCATTATTTTAGGAGGCTTGACAGGTAGATACATAGACAACTCTGTGGGTAAACTGTTACCTAAAATACCCCCGGTGTGTATATGGTGTCTGTTGCACGCATTTCTCCTAAAAGTCCTCCCCCACTAAAAGAAGCTATCACGCTCCCCCTCCTTTAACACATAAACCATCCTTTAGGCAACACCCCTGCTGCAAAGCCAGCTGACAACACACAAAGAAGGGACTCACTGCTGCAGCTGCTGTGGCGGTTGCCTGAATATGCAGATGGTCTCTGATCAAAATGCGCCACATTAGGAATGATGATGATCACCCTTTAAAAAAATAAAAATAAATAAAAATAAAAAGGAAAAGGCGAGCCATCCGGCCAACCGAACCAGAAAGCGCGCTGGAGCAAAGCCCACCACCCTCTTTTGCTCGCGCCCCATTTCCCTCCCCTCCCCCACGCTCCCAGACTTTTAGTAAAGGCACCCCTATTTTGCAATCGGCGCTCCCCAGCTCAGCAACCCACCATAGCGGAACATCCAAGGATGGCAGGAACGGTCCGTCCATCGAAGCTGCAGCTGCTGCGTGCAAAGACGACGTTGGAAAAAGGGGTGGAAGACGGGATGGCGGGGGGGGGGGGAAGGTAGGCGACAACCAGGATGGCGAGGCTCGAGAAAACGGGGCTGACGAGGCGACTTATGGCGCGTCCGAGAACGCGTGCCGGTGCCGCCGCCGCTCTGCTCAAGGTCTCCCTCCCTGCCGAGTAGCGGCAGCGGCAGCAGCAGCCATCGCCGGACGCGTCACGTGGCGCCGCTTGTTGCTGGAATGATGGCCATAGCCATAGCAACCACGCACCGGGATGGCGGAGGAGGGAGCGCTGCCTGGGCGCGGAATGTTGTAGGCGACCGGCGGCTTCGGCTTTTCCCTTTGCGCAAAGAAGAGGCAGCGGCCGCCCCGACCGAGCTCCTCCCGCGTTCTGCTCGGTTGCCATTCGAGAGGCTGGCGGGATATAAAAACCAAGTAAGGTTCAGCTCTCGGCGGCTGTTCCCGCGTTAAGTCCCTTCCCGTTCAGGTTCTCTTCCCCCGCTTGCTTGAAAGTGAATGAATTGGTGTGGCTTGGTGTGGCTTAGTAGGTCAAGTGCAATGAAGTTCCAGTGGTGTTTGGCTGGGATTCACGTTTTACAGCTAAGCGGCGCAGGCCTCCCTTTAGACTAGAGACCTGTGCTGGGGGACTCAGAAACCGGTCGCATTCTAGGCCGTGTCGTTTGGGCTTTATGGATTGCTAAAATGGTTGGAGCCTTAAGAACAGCCAGAGTCTTCACGTACATTAATTAGATCCAGAAACCCCCTTTTCCCTCCCAAACGGGATGACCTTGGTAACTGGAATAATTAAATTCCCTATAAAACAGGAAGCAGAGAGATAGATGGTGGGCAGGCAGATAGAACAAGGTTTTCCAATTGGCAAACAAAATGCTCATTTATAGTTATTTTAACTGCAGGGATCTTTATCTGTAATAAAGATGTAAATGTACACGTTCAGGATTGAGATCATTATTCACCCCCCCCCCAGTCCCCCCAAGGTCCAGTTGGTAGACTGCACACAATAGAAATCTTACAAGACCGAAGTTGACTCCTTCCATAATGGAAGATTATTAGTATTATTTCCCTATTGAAGATGTGGACCACAGCAGCTTATTCAGGGCTGGGTAGCAACTCCTAGGATGGAGCAAGATTCAAATAGCTGATGGGGTGGGGAATTATGCTCCATTTTATCACACCATTTCTCATGCTTACAATAAACATTCAAGAACTAAAAAGATGGGCTATAATTCTATCCCAAGGAAATTCAGGTAGTGTGTTCATAAAGCTCCATAGAAGAACAATTTTGCAAAGATCCCAGGGCAACAAATACTTATTAAAATAAACATTTATTTATTATTTATTTATTATTCGAATTTATATCCCGCCCTTCTCCTTGCGGACTCAGGGCGGCTGACAATCGATTAAAAACACCAATAACAATTACAAAATTAAAATTAATTAAAATGAAATATTTAAATTGTCTGATTAAAATATGATTAAAAACCCCTCTAAAAACCCCTCTTAAAAATTGCCCTAGGCCAGT